ATGTTTTTACTGTACTTGTGCTTCATGAATAAATCTGTAGTTGAGGTTAGCCTTCTAGGTGTGCAGCCTATTTTCTTTTCTCTTGGTTTTATGTTTTAGGTAGCACCCTTCCAGAATACTCTGGTGGCACCTCATAACCCTTTTCTGTATTTTTGTGGACTCCCCAGCTTTCCCCTTCCTTCTTTCTATTATTGAACAGGATAAGATCCTAAGCTGATCCTGTCCTGAACCTGATGTAAACCTGATATGAACCTGTGAACAGCTACTGTATCAATTAGCTGTGAAACCTCAGCTTCAATCCGCACCGCACATGTGTAAATCAGCTCTTAGGGCAGTATGCGCCCAGGGACAAAAGCCTGGAAAGGAGACATCTTGTCTTCTGGGCATTCGTCTGAGAGCATCCTGCCTCAAATGTTAGTTCCGTTCAGCACACCATCCACTTACAGCAGCTGTCAGCCTCTCATAGAGTTTAATGTAGAATTTAAGGATAACCCTTACTAATCTTACAAATTGTCCCTATCCCCTCCTAACACCTAGTCTGACTAATCTGTGTAGGAAAGGTGTGTATACCTACCTATTCTTAGCCTGCTCCCGTCCAGTCACATGATCTCCCCTGTGTCAGCCAGAGGCAGCTGCAGGGGAGAAGAGAAAGTGCTCGAAAATGACTGGTAAACCCTGGGAGTGGTGATTTCACTCATTGGCTTCAATGGTTCATCTGTTGTCGACAATCCCTCTTCTCCCCTGCAGTGCTGCTGGCTGACACAGGGGAGTGGGGACTGAGATCACAAGACTGGACGGAAGCAGAGTTAAAATAGGTAAGTATATACAGGCGTACCTCGGTTTACGAATTTAATTCGTTCTGCGGGACTTTTCGTATTGCGAAAAATTTGTAAACCGAAGGGCAGTTTCCCATAGGAATGCATTGAAAACCAATTAATTCATTCCGGAGCTCAGAAAAAAGTTTTAAAAAGTCTTATCTGTTCAAAACTCTTTATAAAGTGCACTTTAAAGGCATAAATACTGTACAGGGACATGATTAAAGAAAACATTTTTGTAAATGCATTGAAAACCAATTAATCCGTTCGTATTGCGAAACAAATTTGTAAACCAAGCCTTTATTTTCAATGGATTTTCATTCGTATACCGAAAATTACATTAACCGAGGCATTCGTAAACCAAGCTACACCTGTACATCTTTCTTACGCAAGTTAGTCAGAATAAGTGCTAGGGGGGGGGAGGAGTGTTTTTTAAGATTCATTCGGGTTATCCCAGAATTCTTTAGCAGACTGCTGGAATTGAAGCTGAAAGAAGCACCCGTGCTTTCCATATGAACCTGAATATTGGGATCGCATGCAGCAGGGGCTAAATACCCAGTATGTATGGGGGAGAGCAAGAAGCATGGTTTCATACACCTGCCCCCCCTCCCCCATTATTCAAATTGCGGGGTGCTTCTTGCTCTTCATAGGATTTTTTAAACTCATATGCATAGACCTGGCATCCATACACAAATACCCATCAATGAACATACTACAAGTCCCATCTGCCACTGCGGGGCATGTCATCTGCAGGGTTGGTTAATGTCACCACACTTCTAGTCCAGTCCAAACTTCCTCCAGCCCCATAACTTAAAGCAGAACTTCACTCTCTCAATCAGCATTGATTATTCTTAATCCTCATGCTGCTAGCATTAGTAAATAGATGGGAGAGTATATTATATTTGCCTATGCCTAGTCAAATTATGTTATACATCCCAGGAGTCTTCAGAAGGAGAGGAGGATATTTCTCAGCTAAGGAAGTTGGAGTGCAAATGCCAGGGAGTAAATTAATCTGCCCTTACTCAAGATGGCCGCGGCCAGAAATGCCAGGAGCCATTTTTCAAAGTGATTTCTCAGCAAAATAAAAAATGAAGACATGGGTGAATGAATGGGTGAGTTTGCTTTGAATATTAAAAATGAATTACAGTGTTTTTGGTTTGTGATGCTTAGATGCAGTGTAGTTCTTCTTTAACCACTTGCCCTCCTGAGGATTTACCCCGCTTCCTAAAAAAAATCCCAATATGTGTAAATGAATTGGTTTACGTGAAAGTTATAGCGTTTACAAAAGGCGGTACATAGATACTGGAATTTTGTTTTTTATTTTTACTAGTAATGGCGGCTATCAGTGACTTATAGCAGGACTGCGGCAGGCATATTGACACTGGGGGGAACTGACTTGGTGTCACTGACATCCCCAGTGACACCAATACAGTGATCAGTGCTAAAACAAAAGCACTGACACTGTACTAATGGCACTGGGCAGGAAGGGGTTAACATGAGGGGCGGTCAAAGGGTTAACTGTGTGCTGTTTAACTTGTTTCTGTGTGCTCCACTGTAAACGCACTGTGCTGTGCACAGCCATCCAAAGTAGGCTGGACGCACTGATGGAGAACTGTCTTGTTTACAAACAGTTCTCCTCCGTCGGAGATGCTCAGCAAACACCGGGCGGGACCTGGTGAATGACAGCCAAGGCTGCGAACGGCAGAGCGGGTAGGGCGCGCATGAACCCCCTACTCGGACATGCAAAATCACATATATACACGTGATTTTGCGCACCCGTGCCGCCCTGTAGCAGTATTTCTGCTATAAGGCGGTCGGAAAGCGGTTAATGTGTTACTAAACCCACAACAGTAAATCAGTCTGTATATGCAGTAAAGCATGCTTGTTATACTTGCTGTGTAACCTAAGGAGTTAATCCTCTGCATTGTGTAAAAAGGCCATTTGATCCTGACTTCTCTGCTCCCCCTCTCGTTCAAATGTCCCCCTCTTATCTCCTAAGACAGACTGAACCCATAGCCACATGCACATGCTCAGTTTAGTGTATATTGCTAGAGAGGTTTTTTTTTTTTGTTCTTGGGAGGGCACATGTGATCAGCACAGGGCCAATCAGCCCTGTCCAGACAGAGGTCAGGGGATTTGCATCCTCCTAGAGCAGAAAGTAAACTCCTCCTACAAGCTTTAACCAGTGCTCTGCTGAAGTCACAAGACTGCTATGTACTGCTGATGAGAAAAGGTATTTAGCAGTTTATATTTACTACAATAATTGCATTTCCATGTTGTGTGTACTGTAAGAGACCAGCTATAGTGAATGCAGGATCCTGGGTGTAGTATCACTGTAAGGTCTGCAGGGGCGGGTGCACATGAACGTTATCGTGCGTTCCCACATGGCACATTTTTGATAGCCTGAATACTTCAATGGGCTGCCCTATGTGTGAGAATGTGCAGACTTTTCACATCATGGTGCACCAAACCTGCATGCTGCTGCGGTACGTGTTTTGGTGGCCGCATCGCACGCTCAGTTTCTAGATGCATTTGAGGTGCAACAATGGCACTCGTACCCATCTAATGAGGGCTGTATGCTTCTATGTGGTGCAGGAAATACGCCCAGGAACATGCATTATGCGCACTGCACTTGCTGTGAACGTACCCGACCTCTGTACAGAGCTGGGCCTGAGGGTACACAATGCACACGCCTGTACACTGCATTTATCCTACCTATTCTGCAGGCCTGAGTGCAAACGTCATAAACACACATTTCTGACGTCATCACTGGTGCACATATGACACTATCTGAGGTGGAACACGCCTTGCAGCTGCACTCATACTTTCCTTTTATTGAACACTTCCATACACACACTGGAGACATCCAACAAAATGATGTCTGCACACAGCAAGAGTGCCCGATAGTCGGGTATAAAATACATGAACAGTAAAGCACCAGCATGCAGCAAGTGTCTGACGTGTGTGTGTGGCGTGTGCACACAGCCGGTGTCCTTCCCGCTCTGCTGGCACTATTTCCCCAGCGTCTGACCCTTCCGCCGCCTCTTACCTCTCTGCACAATGCAGCGGAGGGCTCTATACGCCGGCATCGTGATCAGCGCCTCCAGTCAGGTGTGGTCACATGCTACAGACGCGCGCACACCGATTGGCTATTAACTCACTGGCGGAAAACGTGTCTCCGACGCTGGTTGCCGCCTACAAGTGGGCAAATCTGGCGCCAGCGACGGAGCGAAGCTGAACCAAAAATAAATAAAGCGCACAGCTTATCTGTTGTCTCAGTGATGGGATGTATGATTGGTTATGTAAAATCTAGGAGCTATCTTGAAAGTCTTAACCATAGGCCTATTGAGGGAAGGACACTGCTGACATGAGGAGATATCTATTTTGAGTACATTCTCATCTAAATCCCTGTAGGAAGGGCGTCCGAAGATCCAGCACCTTGAAAGGAAACAAACATTTAATACTAACCCCTTCGTGCCTAAGGGTAAAACAAATCTTAATGCCTAAGCACAATTTTGCAACGTTGACATGAGTTAGGAAAGCCGTACATATCATCACAACTACTTTGTGCTTCCGGGTGGATTATACCTTGTTTATTTTCAGGACAAATTGGGATTTCATTTGGTGGTAAATGGTAATGGATATCTCCTGATTTTTTTTTAGTACCAAAGGAAAATTGGCCCAAAATAGTAAAAAAAAACCCAAATTTTAAAAAATTTAGCTGTATACTTTTTGCTACTACCATAATCTACCACTAAATAACAACCTAAAATCATTTCTCCTGCTCCCAACGATTGCAGCGATGCCACATGTGTGTATCTTAGTTGTTTTTACCTGTAGTACAGCCCAGAAACAATAGTGCACAATTTGCTTTTTTCATACTGACACTGATACTAATTTAAATATGTAAAAAAAAAAAAAACTGACCAAAAAAACAAAAACCCTGACATTGGACCCTGACCCAAACATTAACCATGATCAAACCTTGATCTAGGTATTTTTGTTTATTTTTTTATTATGATGTTTATTTATTCATTTTTAACACACTTTGGGGGGTTTTTTCTCTCTGAAAGGACAGAGAGAGATACAATGTACAATATATTGCCAAAAGTATTGGGACAGCCCTCCAAACATTGGCTTCAGGTGTTCCAATCACCTCCATGGTCACAGGTGTATAAAATCAAGCCCCGAGGCATGCAGACTGCTTCTACAAACATTTGTGAAAGAATTGGTCGCTCTCCGGAGCTCAGTGAATTCAGGCGTGGTACTGTGATAGGTTACCACCTGTGCAATAAATCCATCTATGAAATTTCCTTGCTAATAAATATTCCACGGTCAGCTGTTAGTGGTATTATAACAAATTGGAAGCTGCAACTGGGAACAACAGCAACTCAGCCACGAAGTGGTAGGCCACGTAAAATGACAGAGCGGGGTCAGCGTATGCTGAAGTGCAAAGTGCGCAGAAGTCGCCAACTGCAGAGTCAATAGCTAAAGACATCCAAAGATGGTGTGGCCTTCAGATTAGCACAACATCAGAGCTTCATAGAATGGGTTTCCATGGCCGAGCAGCTGCATCCGAGGCTTACATCACCAAGTGCAATGCAAAGCGTCGGATGCAGTGGTGTAAAGCACACAGCCACTGGACTCTAGAGCAGTGGAGACATGTTCTCTGGACTGACCAATCATGCTTCTCAGTCTAACAATCCGATGGACATGTGTAAGGGACCGCCCGGCAGTACCACTAGCACTCCACTGAATAGGCGTCCCCAGCGCACGGAGTCTAAGTCCCAGGGTGCTTGTTCACCAGGGCCCCTGATGGTGGGGATGGACTTGGAGCCCCCTGAGACCAGGTCGTGGCTACTGGGTGCGTCCGTCAGTGGTAGTGGTATGCGCCAAGGGCTCCCACGGGAGAGAGTCTGATATGAGGAGGTCAGAAGACCCCACTGCGAGGGATGGGCGGATGGATGAGCAAGGTCAGACGGGCCGGGTCGGTAACAGAGAGGACGGTAAGGTACAAGGCAGCGGGCATAGAATGGTCGGGTCACACGCCAGGTCAGCAACAGCAGGTCAAATCCAATAGGGGGCATTCAGGAGAGAGGTCAGGCAAAGCAAGGGTCTGGGCAGGAGAATACAGCAGTGGTCAGGCACAATCCGGGTCAGCAACTTACTAGAACAGGTTCAGGTACAGGATACAGGATGCAGGGTAGGATAAGACCAGAAGGCACCAAATGACAGCTCAGGGCCGTTTAAATATCGCGCCCTGCGCTGCCATTGGTGCCCAGCGGGCGGCCGCGGCTTCTACTGCGCATGTGCGAACTCGCGCGCCGCGGCCGGCCCGGACCTCGAGCTCGCGTCCCTGCACAGGGCGGCATACTGCACCTGCGCCGGGACCATCGCGACGGGAATCGTGGCGATCCCTGACAACATGTCTGGGTTTGGTGGTTTCCAGGAGAATGGTTCTTCTCTGACTGCATTGTGCCAAGTACAAAGTTTGGTGGAGGGGGATTATGGTGTGGGGTTGTTTTTCAGGGGTTGTTCTTGGCCCCCCCAGTTCCAGTGAAGGGAACTCTTAAGGCATCAGCATACCAAGACATTTTGGACAATTTCATGCTCCCAACTTTCTGGGAACAGTTTGGGGATGGCCCCTTCCTATTCCAACACGACTGCGCACCAGTGCACAAAGCAAGGTCCATAAAGACATGGATGAGTGAGTTTGGGGTGGAGGAACCTGACTGGCCTCAACTTGATAGGACACCTTTGGGATGACTTTGAGCGGAGACTGTGAGCCAGGCCTTCTCGTCGTGCCTGACCCCACAAATGCACTTCTGGAAGAATGGTCAAACATTCCCATAGACACACTCCTAAACTTTACGGACAGCCTTCCCAGAAGTGGTAAAGCTGTTATAGTTGCAAAGGGTGGGCCAACTCAATATTGAACCTTGTGGACTAAGACTGGGATGCCATTAAAGTTCAAGTGCGTGTAAAGGCAGGCATCCCAATACTTTTGGCAATATAGTGTATCTCTCTCCTCCATTCAGAGAGAGAAAACAAGGGGGGCAGGCTGCACAGTGTCTGATCACTGTGATAGCCAATCAGAGGCTACCACAGCGATCAGGTGACCCGGAATTGGGAGTGACATTGCAGTCTTTGTGCTGGGAGCGTGCCATGCGGTGTGCTCCCAGCAGAAAGACAGGTGCGCAAATTAGCGGTCCCATGGAAAAAAGCCCAGTTCTGTGAGGCCGCTAATTTGCATGTGGTCAGCGTGAGGGGGTTAAAATGACTCTAAAGGCCTATATATATATATATATATATATATATATATATATATATATATATATACAGTTGTGTTCAAAATAATAGCAGTGTGTTGAAGAAAGTGAATAAAGCTCAAAATCCTTCTAATAGCTTTTATTTCCATACACACATGCATTGGGAACACTACACATTCTATTCCACATCAAAACATGAAGAAAAATATATCAAATTTGTGTTGTTCTTCTAAAAAAATTTAAGAAAAGTGAATATTAGACTGCTCAAAAAAATAGCAGTGTTTGTATTCTTCTTTACAAACTCAAACATTCACTATATAAACTGAAAAATGTTTGAAGATTTTGCTTTCCTTTGAATCACTTAATTAATATTTGGTTGTATAAGCACTGTTTCTGAGAACTGCTGTACATCTGTGTTGCATGGAGTCAACTAACTTCTGGCACCTGTGAACAGGTACTCCAGCCCAGGATGATTGGACTACATTCCACAGTTCTTCTCTATTTCTTGGTTTTGCCTCAGAAACTGCATTTTTGATGACACCCCACAAGTTTGCTATTGGATTAAGATCCGGGGATTGGGCTGGCCACTCCATAACGTCAATCTTGTTGGTCTGGAACCAAGATGTTGCACGATTACTGGTGTTTTTGGAGTCGTTGTCTTGTTGGAACACCCATTTCAAGGGCATTTCCTCTTCAGCATAAGACAGCATGACCTCTTCAAGTATTTTGATGTATTCAAACTGATCCGTGATTCCCGGTATGCGATAAATAGGCCCAACACCGTAGTATGAGAAACATCCCCATATCATGATGCTTGCGCAACCATGCTTCACTGTCTTCACAGTGTACTGTGGCTTGAATTCAGTGTTTGGGGGTCGTCTGACAAACTGTCTCCGGCCACTAGACCCAAAAAGAACAATCTTACTTTCATCAGTCCACAAAATGTTGCGCCATTTCTCTTTAGGCCAGTCAATGTGCTCTTTGGCAAATTGTAACCTCTTCAGCATGTGTTTTTTTTAACAGTGGGACTTTGCGGGGGCTTCTTGCAGATAGCTTGGCTTCACATAGGGGTCTTCTAATTGTAAGCGTACTCACAGGTAACTTTACACCTTCTTTGATCTTCCTGGAGCTGATTGTGATGTGAGGTATTTTCCAGGCTTTAGTGATAGTCTGTTTTGCATGGTTGAGCAGTCATGATTCACGTTTAGCACAGGTGGACAGATATATGTTTAGGAGGGCTGCCCAAGGGCAATTCTCAAGGACACATGCTGGTAAAGTTTAGGTGATACGAACTTCAAAATTGTTTGCTTACAGGATAAGCCCACCAAATGTGAGGGTAACATCACCATTTTCCGTACAACCCCTGAAACAATGTGGACAAACAAGGACTCCAGCAGCACTTGATCTATGTGGATTGGCAAAAGTTACTCTCGTAACACAAGCTTATAGTTCATTTCAGAGACAGTGACATTAGTCAAGCACTCTCAGGTAGCTAGCCACATATCTTCCTAAACAGCAGGTGTCATCGTAAAGTCCAGGTCATCTTCCTATTTCCAGAGTTACAATATGTGGGAGAGGCAGAGGAGGTGGCAGAAATTATATATACAGTATAATGATGTAATTATACTTGGAAAGTGTGGGTCACTGATGAAAATTGTCTCAAAGGGGGTTAGTGTGAGTGGGGATTTCATATTCTGTGTAGAGACAAAGTTTTTTATCCGACTTTTTTAAAAGTTTCCAAAGATCTAACCCCTTGGAGGGTGAAATGGTCATAGGCTCTGCTAAAGTTGGCAGTATACCACTATCAGAGTTGGGATTCAATGTTATGTGATGGAGTTTGTAAAGTGTTGTCTATGGTAGGGCGGAAGTCAGAGGATAGTAGTGGCGTTGAACGGTGTTGTCAAGAAGGCTTCGAGGCTCACCCAAAGAGAAACATTGGATGTGGCATGGATAAGGGAAAGTTGGACAATTTGATCTTGTGGGCAATCCAAGATCTATGCGATCCCCAGACTTCAGGCTTTTACTCTGCAGTATACGTATATGTGGAGGAACCAAGATCGGGAGGACCCAAAATAAATATAAAGGCTTGGGAATAAAAGTCACATTAATTGCAGTCACACAGCCAAGCCAGGCAAAAGTTCCAGATAAGGAGGAGTTTTCCTATGTGACAAATGAGAGGAGGAGAATTATCACTGTAAATAGTTTTATACAGTGGGGAAACAAAATTTGATCCCCGAAAGATTTTGTAAGTTTGCCCAAGGGTCTGTCATTTTTATCATAGGTATATTTTAATCAGAACATCAATCAAAAATCCAGACAAAAACACACAATATGTGAATGAAATGTTATAAATTGAGTTGCAGTTCAGTGAGTAATATAAGTATTTAATCCTCAAGCAAAACATAACTTAGTACTTGATGGAGAAATCCTTGTTTGCAAGCACAGAGGTAAGACGTTTCTTATATTTGGTTACCAGGTGTGCATACATCTCAGGAGGTATTTTGGTCCGCTCTTCTTTACAGATCTTCTCTAAATCTTTACGGTTTCTTGGCTGTTGCTTGGCAACTCAGACTTTCAGCTCCCTCCATAAATTTTCAATAGTATTAAGGTCTGGGGACTGGCTAGGCTACTCCATGACCTTAATGTGCTCCTTCTTGAGCCACTCCTTTGTTGCGTTGGCAGTATGTTTTGGGTCATTGTCATGCTGGAAGACCCATCCACTACCCATCTTCAGTGTTCTGGCTGAGGGAAGAAGGTTGTCATCCAAGATTGGCCCCTCAATGTGGCAAAGTCAACCTGTACTTTTAGCAGAGAAACAGCCCCAAAGCAGAATGTTTCCACCTCAATGCTTGACTGTAGGGATGGTGTTTTTAAGGTCATAGTCAACATTTTTCTTCCTCCAAACATGGCTAGTCAAGTTAATGCCAAAGAGCTAAATTTTGGTCTCATATGACCACAGCACTTTTTCCAAATCCTTCTCTGAATCATTTAGATGTTCATCGGCAAACTTCAGATGGGCCTGTACATGTGCCTTCTTGAGGAGAGGGACCTTGCGGGCACTGCAGGATTTCAGTCCATGGCTGCATATTGTGTTACCAATGGTTTGTTTGGTGACTGTGGTCCCAACTGTCTTGAGATCATTCACAAGCTCCTCTCGTGTAGTTCTGGGCTGATCCCTCTTTTCTCATGATCATCCTTACCCCATGAGGCGAAATCTTGCATGGTGCTCCAGACCGAGGGCGATTGATGGTTATTTTGTGTTTTTTCCATTTGCGAATAATCGCTCCAACAGCTGTTTCCTTCTCATCAAGCTTCTTGCTGATGGTCTTGTAGTTTACTCCAGCCTACTGCAGGTCTACAATCTTGTCACTGATGTCCTTTGACAGCTCTTTGGTCTTGCCCATTATGGTGAGGTTTGAATGGAAGAAAGAGATTCTGTGGGCATGTGTCTTATATACACATAACGAGTTGTCGTTAGGAGCACTTTCTTAAACAGACAGGACTAATCTGTGTACCACATGAGCACATAGCCAGTCTGTAGGAACCAGAATTATTGTTGGTTGGTAGGGGATCAAAAACTTATTTTACTCACTGAACTGCAACTCAATTAATAACATTTGTATCATGTGTTTTTCTGGATTTTTGGCTGATATTCTGTCTATCATTTAACATACACCTATGATAAAAATTATTGACCCTTCATTTCTTTGTAAGTGGGCAAACTTACAAAATCTGCAGGGGATCAAATTTATTTTCACCACTGTAAGAGTCGGCTAAGATTGAATCCCAGGTAGGGAAGTTAACTGGGTACTCATTGAAATTCATAGGATTGTGATTGAATTAGGCTGGTAAGGATATACAGCATCACAAAGACTTTTACCTTTTTATACAGACACTGAATAGGGAGGCAAAGTTATGAAGTTGTATAAGATGTTTGAGGAGGTAAGTGGTAGGATTGGCAAGGAACTTAATGAGGTCATCAGCAAAATGAAATGCTTATAATGATGGCAAACACAACCGTTGAACTGAGTTTGGGGAGTTTTAAAGAGGTTGTAAAGCTTAATTTTTAAAAATAAACCTGTTATACTTACCTGCTCTGTGCAATGGTATATTGCACCTCTATACTCACAAGATTTGATTGAGAGCAGCAGGAGTCAATGCCTCCAGCTGCTGCCTCTCTGTCCTGTGAATGCAGGGAGAGAGCTACTACAGACTGGCACAGCACTGGATCGAGTAAGGACTAAGTATTTATGGGTGTGGCATACAAACAATGGGAAAGTTGTTAACTTATTGCAGGGAATGCC